CTTGGGCGTTCTCCTGAGACAGAACATAAAGACACATCAGCTGTCAACTCCCCATGGATCCATGACATATCCTGCCGCCTGAGTCTCAGCAGGGCATGAGGGCTCTCCAGGACCTTGTCGCTTTGTGGAAAAGATTTTGTTGACTGCGTTGAAAGTCCAGCTGACCAGATCCATGACAGTAGTTTTAGTTTCAGAAGATGTGCAATAGGAGCTCCAATACACAGACAGAGAGCAAAAAAAAGCAGGAGGAGAACAGGAGAGGGAAAGGAGGCATCCACCTTGCATGAAAGTGAGTGCAGAAATTTAAAAATTTTAATTGTAGAGAAGAGAAGCGCAGCAGGACAGCAAAGGGTTAACAGCTGATGCAGCATGGAGCAGAAATGTACTTATTGATCAATTACACTGAAACAACTGAACATAGAAGTTCTAAAATAATTAAAAATAACTTTTAACACATTTAAATTTTTAGTGATTATGACGATTTTACGATCATGAGACATACTTTGATTTTTAAGTTGGAAGACAAAAGTCGATCGGTGCATCTGGACCTTCACAAAGCTGCTGCAGCACGGAGGAGAAATGTGGGGTGGCAAAGAAGGAAATCATGACAGGCTGTAGGACAGAGCTTCTCCCTGCACCAAATGATTTAGTTGGAGCTAAATCATTTCAAATAATTAATTTTAAATAAACAATACATGCCACTCATCCATCAATCAGCTAATTCTGTGTCATGTACACTCTTACTTTGAAAAACTGCAAAAAAGCGAGTCCGCAAAAGTTGAACTGCGAAGCAGTGAGGCACTACTGTATACTGTTTTCTATACTTTATATTTTTGCTATTTTTGGGTGTAACAGGGACCTTGTGTACACAATTTCGTTCCACCTAATGTGCCACATGTGATGCAAATGACCATAAAGAAACTTGAACCTTGAGCTTTATTATCCACTGCACATGCAGCAACACTCACCTCTGTGATATAATTTTTTATTTTCACTGTTATTATTGCTGTCAAATGAAAAGAATAAACGGTCTTATTCAAAGGCATCAAATAAATGTTTTTCTGCCATTTTTCATTTGATGGTCAAATTTTAAGATTCTTTGTCATTCGCACCACGTGGCACATGAGGTGGAATGAAATTGTGTACTCAAGGTCCCAGTTACACCCAAAAATAACAAAAATATAAAGTATAAAAAAGAGACGGTATACAAGGATCTAAGATATGCACTAAACAATAATAATATAATATAGTGTATTTATTGGTATTAAAACAAAAAAAGAATG